GAGAGAGAGAGAGAGAGAGAGAGAGAGAGAGAGAGAGAGAGAGAGAGAGAGAGAGAGAGAGAGAGTCTGTGGCTAAGGCTAGAAGTACCTCATGTCCTCATCCAAGTAGGTTGTATCAAGCTCTCCTTTGAATCTCCCAGGTGGACGGATTGAAATCTGCATAAAGCACAAGCCAATGAAACATTTTTATTTTGCGTGACTACAAAGACCGCATGCGTAAAGGTTGTATGTGCCTTGCGGCTGGATGCTACACATGTAGCTGCTGACAAATCGTCAGTTCAAATTCTGACCGATGTAGGACAGTAGTTCAGCCATTAGTACTTTGCTCAGTTTGCTGACTTATATAAGCTGATACCCACATTGCTATTGCTACTCAAGTCAAGCCTACTACATATTTGTGCGATGTTTGCGAGGACCAGGGGCAAGGGGCTAAAGTACAGAAGATAACTTACCAGGTTAAGGATTTTGAAGAACAGAAATTGGACTTCGACTTTTGAGGAGGACAAGGGAATCAACTCAGCAGTCACCTGGTCAGGTGCATAGACCAGAAGAGAAAACACATGTAAAAAAGCATATGCAGGCACAGACACATACGAAGGCAGAAACCAGCAAAGTAAAGAGAGAGGGCACACACCACACACACAGTGTCACAAACAAGAACTTAAAATAAGCCAGCTGACAGAGAGAAAAAAAGACAAATTGACACAAACACGCAACAAGACAAGGAGAGGAAACTAGTCAGCAAGAGGTCATCCACTCCTACAACATTCACAAATGTAACTCCAGTTCCGAAGCAGTGTTTTCGACAGTTTTTCACTTTTTTCTTTAACTTGTATTTTCGTGGTTTAAACTTTATAAAGCGTAGGACTGAAATGTCTACGGCAGGTCGAATCAAACAAAACCACTCAGACAAATAAATGCTTAGATCAGGAGATGTGCAATCAGACTTGTTCTCAAACACACTTTTCATGCATGTAAACAGCAACGCAGCATACTGGCGACATACGCCCACTCAAAAAAATCAGATATATGGCTTCCAGATACGAGTTCACTCTCAATTGGCTATGGCGACTTCAGCGCCCAAACATCTCACTGTTCA